AGAACCCCCCCCCCCCCACAACTGATACCAATCTCTCCATAGGGTAAAAATCTTGCCTGACCCCAAAAACCATATTTACTTGAATAAAAGACAACCCTGATTATAAGACAACCCCCCAGTCATTAGATTCTGTATATGGAAAATTTAGAAATTTGTTATAATTTAATTATTGGAGCTTTGCCTTGAATTTGTCTCCCTCCCACTGCTACAGCAGGAAAAATAAATCGGGGCGGGTCAGGTAGCCTCTTTGTTCTCTGCTTCCCCCCCAGCCTTTTCCCCTGGCAGCCCCTTCCCCCTTTCCTTACTGTCAGACCCTGCTCTCCCTGAGCAAATGGCAAATTAAAAAAAAATACCCCTGACATTAAACATGGCTGTAAAAAATTGTATATATTGCCCATGCACTTAATTTATCCAGAATTGATGCGTGTTGCCTTTTTTTGAAACTGCTCCAAGCTTTAGCACAGGTACTCCACAAACACATTTTTGAACAGCACTTTGGCACCTACTTCTATGTAGTACAAGTACCTAGTACTTGATACTAGTTCAAAGCTAAAGGCTCATGATTTACTACATACTGTAGTTCATTGGGCTGGGCCCTATCAGAGTCAACAGCGTTCAAGCCAGGGTGACCACACAGCTCAGCACTGCTCAGTATGTGCTCGTACTCCAGATACCCATCCCCCCCAAAAAAGATCCATGGGCTAATCTTGTGGCTGGAACTGGGTGTTCTTGTCACAAGTCCTGGGATGCTCCATATTTAAAAGAGGAAAATGTCCAGGAGCAGATGGACTACCCGTGGAATTTTATGAGAAATACTGGACATGGATGGGGATGGATATAGTAGAGGTTTTCAAAGGAATAGTGAGGAAAGGAGAGACGGGGAACAATTTTACAAGCGGAATAGCAATTTTATTATTCAAGAAAGGGGAGAAAAAGTTTTTGAAGAACCTGCTAAAATACAGATGACAAGCTGTTGGCAAAGGCGGTGGCTTTGAGAATACAGAAGAACCTGACAAAAGTAATGCACAAATATCAAACCTTCACAGTCCCAGGCAGGAGGATTTCTCACTCAGTTCGACTGATAAGGGATACACTGACACACGCTCAGAAGAGGAAATGAAATACAGCAATAGCAAATTTGGATCTGGAGAATGCATATGATAGAGTGGGTCACAATTTTATATTTGAAGTGTTATAGAAAACACGTTTCCCAGAGAAATTAGTAGGGTGGATAAAACTGATATATAAAGAGATGGAAAGCCAAGTGCTAGTAAATTAACATCTGAGCAAAGCCTTTAAAAATCCAAACGGGTAAGACAAAGGTGCCATTGTCACCAATATTGTTGGTATGTGCAATGGAGCTGCTGGCACAAAGAATAAGGAAAGATCAAATCGTAGGTGGGATAATGATACCAGGAGGGGGAGAGGTAAAGTGTGCACTCTACATGGACAACATCAGTGTAATGATTAGAGATAAATTATCAATTGAAAGGATACTAAAACATACAATGGAGTACAG